AAAAAATTTCATCATTTAAGTAAAATAGATCAAAAACAAATTTGTCTTCAAATTTTAATTTTATATCCCGAAACCTAAAATAATTTCGTCAGTATGTATAATAGCACAATAGCATTATAAACTAAAACCCATATAAAATATCTACTATATTAATTGTACTTTTATATAAAAATTAATAAAAAAATTTTTTAAATAAAATTTTTTTAATTTTAAATTTAAATATTATAGCTACTAAAATAGATTTTCAAAAAAACTCTATTTTGTCTCTATTAGAGCAAATTAAAATTTTTTATATACAAGAGCAAATCTAATTTCAATAATTATATTTCTTATAATTTTATCTTTTTAAAAAAAATATCAAAAAATTTCATCTTTTAAGTAAAATAAGTCAAATTTTAATTTTGGTTTTAGACCTCAAAATAATTTTGTAAGCATGTATAATTATAATATTTAATTAAATTAATAATTTTTTTATTTTAATTATATACAATTTTAAGATTAAAATAAATTTCTCTTCTATTATATTCTTCATAATAAATAAAAAATTGTTTAAAAAAAACTAGTATAAAGAAACCTCTCTAAATGGGGTCCGTATTGATTCACCGACAATCACTTCACTGACAGCTCATTTAGACGACATCACACCAGGTGAAATTTAGTAAAAATATATACCTGCAACTAATGAAATGCTTAACCCTAACCCTATGTGATGTCGGCTAAATGATCGTTCGGTGAAATGATTGTCGGTGAATCGAAGGGATCCCCTCTAAATGCACCCCCTCGGGACTATATTAAAAAATTTCAAAAATTTGCACTTAAAGAGGGTGTGCATTTATAGAGAGCAAAATATATAATATTATTATAAGCTGGGGTCAGATTATACCGTGCACTTAAGGAGATTTTACATAGAGAATGAAGGATGTACTTAGAGAGGTTTCTCTGTATAAAGCTATTTATAAATTATTAATGAAATTATTGGCCGGTTAAGTCGCTAAGCGACCGGCTAAGCGGCTTATATATAGCAACCAATTAGCTTTAAATAAATATACACAAAAAAAATAAAAATATTAATAAAATTAAAATATTTGGCATAAAGCATAATTTTTGTTTTTATTAATAAAAAGAAGGTCAATCCGGTAATTCGCGTGTACTTATTGCTTTGTAATATATTTATATATTTATAAACTTATGATTTTTATTATATAGTTATTTTGATTGGTTAATATTAATGCATTATTGTATTCAATCCACTGAAGTATGGTCAACAACACTGTTCTATGGCATTTTTTACAATATGCATCATTTTAGGATCCAAATTTAATGCTAAAGTAAAGTTTTGCGTAGCTTTAGTTCTTTCACCCATTGCCTTATGAATTTTCGCCATTAGGAAATAAACTTTTGGTTCATTTGGAACTGTCTTTTTGAGTTTTTCCAATTCTTCAAGTGCATCCTACAGAGATAAAGATATATATGTATATATGTGTACATATAGAATAATTAAAAACTTTTAAAAAATTTCAAAGAAAAAAACCTTATATTGTTTATCTCTATATAAGGATTTCGCTTTTTTGAATATAGCTAACGGTGTTTGTGGAGTAACTTGGCACGCACGATCATAAAGAGCACGTGCTTCTTCAACTTTACCCATCTTTTCTAATACCTAACATAAATAGCAATATATGTCACTATTATTATTTCCAAGATAATATTTCTAAAATTAGGTTACCTTCCCCAAGCAGCACATAAGGACTGCATGATTTGGGTTGATTTTCATCGCCATTCTGTAATTTTGCTCTGCTTCATACGTTTTGCCACATGTGATGTAATAATTAGCAAGACCGTACCTAAGCATTGATGTTAATTTTTTAATTAAATCAATTAATTATGAGTTATTGGTATTGTAAATGGCAAAAAACACCTTACAGTGCATTATAATGTCGTTTATTAGTATTTAACGCGTTTCTAAAATGCCTTTGGGCATCTTCGTAATTTGCATTAGCCATACTTTCGTGACCAGACAAAGTATGCGCGTAAGTGAATGACTGGTCAAGTTGTATCGCCCGCCGAAAGCATTTCAATGCTACATCATGTTCTTGTTGTCTACTAAAACAATTACCAACAGCACACCAAGTTTGAGGTGATCTACGCTCGAACTCTATTAGCTCATGCGCTAAAGCACTAAGAGCAGTATCTTTACGCAAATGCCATAATGTTGTGGAATATAATTCCATATCCTCAAGGCGATATGGTTCAAGTTGACGTGCTTTCTGAAAGTAATGCTCAGCCTTGGTGGATTTGATATATAATGAAGGTAGGGTTAAATAACTGTAATATGGTTATAGTAACAATTGTAAAAGTGCATACCACAGGGTAATTAACCATTTCAAAATGGGCCTTCGCCATATGGCTTTGAACCCACGCTGTATTGCATTGTGAAGGTGGAAGTTCCGAAAAAACTTCAATCGCTTTGGCGCATTCATATTGACTTAAATACCCGTAACCCTTAGCCAATTGCTTTAGCAAATGCAGAAATTCATTATTATCCGATTTCAAATCTGTGTCATCTATTTTGTCTAATTCCAGATTGATCTGAGGACTTAATGTTGTTTTTTGCAGAGCTTCCGCCTATAAATTTTAAATAAATTTAGAGCCTTAGTATAAAAGAAATATTAGTTAACACACTTTTACAATATTTGGTCTTACTACTTCATTTTCGACATTTGTAGTTGTTTTTCCTTCCCTTGGTACTTTGGACCATTTCTTTTCCTCATCTAAGCCTATAAGAATTCTTTCATCATTAGCAATTCGAGATCTTTTTTTTTCTCTTTCCGTTACAGATGTAGATATCAATGGCTATTAATGTGAATATATAAATATAGTCAATCTAAAAAATAACAAATTTATTTTTGTTTTTGCCAATTTAAAGATAAAATGTGAAATTGTAGACCTTCAATGAAGAAATCTGTATACTTCTCCTCGAACCTTTTTCAACCTTTAAACTCTATGAAAAAATAACCATAAATCATTTATTATAAGATGCTTAATAATGGAAGATACAAGAATAACGTACGCATACCGATTGCGGTACAAACATTTGTGAATTACGAAATAAATCGGCGCACGGTATTCTTGTAGATTTTTCAGTGGTAGACTGGAATATTTCGTCAATGTCAACTTGATTTGATTTACCTGATAAATAAACGTGAATGAGATGCTTTAAGATATTATAATGTACTTATAACCCGTATAGGATCTTGCAATAAAGAAAAATACCAAGCTGACAAAGACTTTCAAAGGCTTCCCACATATAAGGATTTTTTTTAATACAACAAAGGTAATGATGGGCGGCTTCTTCAGGTCGCTTGGCCTGTTTGCACAAAGCACCTAGAAGGCACAAGATAGATGACGCGTCTGGTTGATTATTTTTGGATATATGAGCGAAAGTATCTGCAAAAATAAAACAAAGATGGATCAATAAAGTCGAGAACGTTAGATAGAGTAAGAACCGAGCACGTCACGCCGAATTTCCTTGATGGAACTAAAGGATTTGAAATTGGATTTAACACAAAACATGCATGATCTCAAATAATATTACCAGTTTGATTCGGATTTTAGCAAGAAAATTGAAAGGTTATAATTATATAAAAATGCTGCCTTACCTGATGAAACATCATCTACCTCGGATAGAACCGATCGAAGTTTTTCTTCACCTTCGCCCGCTTTATTAAGATCCAAACAGCATTTTGCGAAAAGATATTTGCACTTTACTGATTGGGCTTCTTTCAACAACATATATGCGGCTTTTTTTTGTCCGTTGCGATAATAGCAAGTCGCCAGCAAAAAACGCGAATTTTCATTATTGCGGTCCTGTGCGTGTAATCTCTCTGCAAGAAAGATTGCGTTTCTATATAAGTGACTGTCCAAAGAATGCCAGATCATATTTTCTAGCTGTGTAAACTGAAACCGGATTTGTTCATTAAATGCCATGATTTTGAATTTTTGATTATCACAATGTTTCGAATAAAGTTTTAATACAGTATACAGTGAATACCATCGTTATATATACATCAGTGAATACCATCGTTATATATACATTAGGAACGATCATGTGATACGAAATGATTTGAATCGGATCTATTAACGTTAATTGCGGACTTTAGCAGTACCTCAAACTCTGATATAAAACATTATGGAGGCTAACTTATTTTAATCTCGTGTCTAGCGTCTTTACATACACTTCACAAACATTAGACATGGTTTGTAATATATATTTAATGCTTTTATGTCTAAATATTCGCGTAATTAACACCTAACGTCTTTAGAACAAACATACAGTTCTTATCTTTCAAAAAACCAATAATCCCAATACTAGAACTTGGACCGAACATGTGAATATAACAGTGGCTCTTGAAGGTTAGCAAACATAGACGCGTTTTTTCCCCCGTCAACGAAATTTATTGTGTTATTTTACTTTCTTATACATTAATGTTTGTCATATCCCGTTATAAATTATATATTATATATTTACAAGGATCTAATATTTAAACTTACTTTTATAATATAGCAATCATCGGCATGTTTGAAAAACAACTTGCACAAACATACCCAGACCAAAGTCACATTAATTATCAAGTGGGAGATCTTATAGGTTTCATTGGTCAATGTAAAGAATTTGCGGCCCTTATCTTTGATCAAAAAGTGAACGCATACGTTCCAAGAGATAAGGCTTGGATTCAGGAAAAGATCGTCTCTCATTTAAGATTAAAACTCGAAAAGTCCAAAAAAGTAACTAGTCACGATATTGGTAACAGGGCACCTAGTAAATCATATATATAAATTTGGGTTAGCCTCTTGGAAGAATCCGAATCATTGCGATGGTTTTTTTATTCTGAGAAATTGTGAATATATTAGTATAGCATCGTTTGTATTGTGTATGTTTACACTACCAACAAATGTAATGTTTTTTTCTTTGCGTAAAGCGTACATATTTTACGCGTCATATGATTGATCGCCGGTAATTATTTTTGAACCCGGACCAATTTTATATATGACGTAATAACATTTTGGTCTGGATCCAAAAATAATTACCCATATTGTATAGCAAATTTTAAATAGCAAGAGTTTTTGCCGTCATTCGATATATAATGATACAATTTAAATGATATATATGAATGCTGCACAACTAAAACATTGAATAATTATCATTTATCGGAAGACATTTCTAAATCACGAACATGTGATCTTCGTTACACGCAAAATTGACTACGTAGTGGTGTAATAATTTTCTACGTTGTAATAATTTTTCAATCCAGGTTTCGATCACGAGATTTCGACCAATCAACCTTAATGTAATTAAATTTCGTGATCGAACCTGACTTTAACGGTTCCCCAAAAATGGGGATTGTCTAAAGCCCCGACTTTTTTATATAGATCAACCAACCGGAATTGCGAAATTTTGCTTACACGAATCAGCCCGAAGAAGTCAAATAAGTGATTCTTATAATATTTCTATTTTTAGCAACAAATATAATTTTTATTAGCAAAAACAAAACATAGTTAAATCAAATATTATCTAATTTATCAAAAAGCAACCAATTTTTTAATATATTTTTATTGTAATTTACAACTTGACTATATTTATTCACAATTTTACAATATGCATTTTGATCATTAGAATCCAATATTATCAATTGTTTTATTATTGCTTTTTTAAAGTTTTAGAGTTTTTAAATTCTTTTAAATTTTTATTAAGCCCATCAAAACTCTTTCTGTTGATCATCAAAACACAAAATTCCAAAAACAAAAATTAAAATTACAAAAAACACACAAGAGTTACTAAAAAACTATTCTTGAGTCTCTAAATAAAGAGGAAGAAAACAACAAGAAACATTTAGTCCTTTAAGAAACTTGAGTAAAAAAAGCAAAAGCGGCAAAGAAATAGAAGAAGTTGTAAAAAATTGTCAATATTTTTTTGCATTTTGTGAACTTTGGGGGAATCAGCCTTGACTTTGAATTACAGATCTGTTTTGGTAATACAAGAATCACAATATATAATAAAAAGTAAGAGATGTGACAAAAATCAGATGATTTTTTAGAGAAGGAGAAGGGTAAAAAAAAGATAAAATTAGGGGTGTGGCGACATAGCGAAGTGGTCAAGTTGTCACTTCTCAAGCAGTAGGTCAAGAGTTTGAATCTTACTGGTGACAAAAATTTGAAAATTCTGCTTGTGTTATAGCTAACTATATTTGTTCGATCAGTTGGGATAGGATATCTGTAACTACAGTCACACTAACAAGACTAGGAGGTCTGGTGACATAATATTACACAAAGGAATGCAAATCAATTATAGGGTGATACAAATACAAGATAAGCCTTCGGGCCATGTAAATCCAAAGAACTGCAAATACGGAAGCCCGCTTGACAAGCCTCGAATAGAAAGGTAATACCGATTTTTAACAGAGCTACTATAAAGGTTAGACTCAGGAAACAGAACCTAGATGAACTGAAC